TATTCCTGCTGGGGAGGGCGGCCCACGAGAATGTCCCTCCCCCAGGGCACAAGGGCTCATCTCTGCCCCTGGGACCCAGCCCACAGCACCTTGCATGATCAGCATGGTGATCAGCCCTTGCTTCACTGAATTCTGGGTCCATCCAAGACACACAACTTCAGGGAGACAAGGAAAGGGAAGCGGCAAGTTAACAAGCCTCTGTTGGGGATAGAAGATGGATCCTACAGTGAAACAGAATAGGGAGATTCCCAAGTCCCCACCTGCTTCACCAAGTCACAGGCCTGGACCTGAGGGAGGGTCTCACCCAGGGATTTCCAGCCAGAAGGATGCAGCTGAAACCCTGGGAACAGGTATGATGTGCAAAAGCACATTTGGCACTGCAATTTCCCACGTGGAAGATAAGGAAGCAGTAAGATAATCATATTTGGATATAAACTGTAGGACGGAAAGCCCAACAAAAGTGGGATCACTGCGGTGGGGATTCACCTGTTGGGGGCTGCATAAAACTAGACAGGGCTGTGTGCTGGAGACACCAAGGTTGGGTTTCAAAGTTGCAGAACACTGATTAGGCCAATCCATTCACTTTGCAAGTAAAGAAACAGACAAAGAGACTTGACGGAGGTTAGGACCCCCAACACAAGACCCTCCAAGAGAGCCTGCCTGGCCACGCTCCTGGAGGAAGGAGACAACGGCAGGGCTGTGGAACCAGAAGATTCTGATCCAGTTCATGGTGGCGGGGGGAGAGGGAGAGGGGGAGTGTCCCAGCCAGGGCAGGCCCATACTCAGAACCTGCATGAGGCATGACTGTGGGCTCTAATCATGTGTTCTGGGGCAAGCGCGGCTGAGAGTCTCGCTTACAGAAGCTTCCATAAGGGCCAGAACATTCTGGAAGTGAACGGGGTGGTTATCTTTCTGTGGCCCTCTTTACATTCAAGCTATCCAGACTCGTGTCCTGAATGCACTATGAACCCAGGCTCCCTGGCCCTTCTAGCAGGTCCCAGACAAGGATCCCCAGGGTCGGGAAAGAGAGAAATTAATGCTGATCAAAACGGTTTAGAGCAAGGCCCTCCCCAGAGCCAGGCCCATCAGACAACTTTCCAGCTGCCCATGTCACCTCCCACTGCTCCTGGATGCCTTAAGCGTTTGGAGACTCCAAGACCAGAACATACCTCAGGAAGGTAGGAGCTGGGACCCTCCAACTGTAAGGCACAATGTCCCCACCAGCTCCCACCTCAGACAAAGAGGTGTGGGAGAGGCTTTCCCTTCAAGACTCCTGGCCTACAAGGCGCCTGCCTGCCTGCGGCTACCGTGCCTCTCCCAGGCTGAGCTCACAGCCACCGGGGGACAGATTTCCTGTATGTCTTTTTACCCATTTAAGTCCAAGGATGCAACTCGGAGGAGGTGGTGACAGTGTAGCACATGCGGCTGTGTGCGCACCCACCCCCGCCCCCTCTGAAACCCAGTTCCGGCCCCATAGCTGGGGTGGGGGGGGGGCCCAAGAGCTCCTTCCTTGCTCCCTAGAACCCCCAGGCTCTAGCCAGTCCGCTCTTAGGAGGACAGTGTTGGGTTTTCAAGTCCTGAATACCGCCCAGAAGGCGCTGAAACTAGCCTGGGTCACCCAGCAGTTGGGGGTGAAGTCAGGGATAAGATGAATCAAGAGGGTAAGACGGGCCCCCAAATCTCCATGGTCTGCACCCCAATGTCTGAACGGGGCCATTCTAGTTCTTTCCGTTCCTCCCCTCCTCCCCAGGCTCTCCCTGGACCAGACCTCACTTCTTGCCATGGCTTCCCTCCCTCTTCTGCCTCCCCTCCCATCCCCCATTTCCCCTCTTACCAATTCGGCCGGCCACTGCACCAGTGGGTTCAGAGCCCCTCACATTTACTGAGCACCCACTGAGTCCCAGGCGCTGCCCTCCCTCAGGCACCATTCCTCTACCTCTTCACCGTAGGCAGACGCCCCCAGGCCGTCCTGCACCGTTCCCCCCCCATCGCACCCCGGCTGTTCCCCCACCGGCCTTGCTCCTCTCAACCCCCAGCCTGGGCCTCTCAACCCCGCCTCCTTGCTTCTCCCCCTCCCAGCCCCGTTTCCTGCGACCCCCCAACTACCACTTAAGCCACGTCCTCTTCAGAGAAGCTGCTCAAAGCCACAAGATCTGCCTCCACACCCGCCCAAAAACTCCCTCACCAGGCCCATCACATCAACTTTCTCCTTCATCGTCCCGTTCCCACTCCGTCTCCTGCAAACTCTCCACGACCCCCAAGCTCGTTCCCGCCTCCTCGACCCCTGCTTTCGCGCCCCCCCCTCAACTAACCCTTAGCCCCGTCGCTCTACAAGGCAGCCCGCCGATGCGAGCTTCGAGATCAAACACTCGACCCGCGGCCGCCCGGCACTCACCTGGGCCTTGGCCGCCGCGCGCCGCCGGTCCCGGCCCCGGTCCCCGCCCGGCAGCCAGCCCGCTGCTCTTCGGGCGCTCCGCCCCACCGCGCCCGCCGCTCCCCCGCGCGCTCCCGCTTCCGGGTTCCGGAGGGGCGGGTCCGGGGGCGTGACGCCAGGGCGCCAAGGGGGCGGAGAAACACGAATCCCCGCCCATCACTTCCGACCCGGCCCAGTCACCGCCCCCTGCCGCTGCTGGGCGAAACCAAGTGTGAAGGGAGGACAGGGAGACGCGCGCGCAGAAGGCGCCCACAGCCACGCTCTACACGGCCCGCGGCCACCCCTCTTGTAGCTTCGCAAAATGGCCTGGTCGGGGCGGGGGCGGGGGGGGTTCGACTTGAAGAGCCGGCCTTTGAGTTGAAGGCGGGAAAATGGCGGATAGCTCGGGGCGTGGTGCTGGGTGAGTCGAGGCGCCGTGGGTCTGGATTTATGGGTGCCAGCTGGAGGGCCCTGGTCGAGGGCTGGGGACAGAGGGGCAGCAGAGTTGGGGAGGAAGGATCCTTGCGGTGAGCCCGGATCTGACTCCTCCAAGAACCACCGAGGATGCGCAAGTTCTGGGAGGTGGGATGCGGCCTTGCGCATGCTCGGGAGCGTGGGCTCAGGACCTTAGGGCGAGTTCGGGTCCCTGGTCAGCCGTTTCGGTCCGGGGCGATGTCAGACGAGTGGCTTAACCTCTCTGTGCCTCGCTTTCCTCCGTCGCGAAACCGGGCTGTTGACGCCGCCTTTCAGTTTTGTAGGCCTAGTGTGAGGCTTAAGAGTGTTTAGAATAGTGTCTGGCCCCTAAGTGTAATCCATCGCTATTACGATTACCGCTTTGTAGTGGATAACTGCTGGACCACTGAAGTATCTCCTTTCATTCTCCCACACGCTTTTTTCTATTCTCCCCATTTACAAATGAGATGATGGAGGCTTAGGGAGGGAAGGTCTTTTGCCCAGGCTCACACAGCAAGAACAAGGGAGACGTCGAACAATGACCTGGTGCCGGGCGTGATTCCTGGGCTTTGTTCATTCTGCCGATGTTAATTGTGCCTGTGCGAATTAAAATTTAGTGGGCCATCTGAAATCACTTATTTACTCCACAGCCCCTTGACCGAACTGTGAGATTGACGTTAGCCTCTCCGAGGTTCAGGGGAAGTACTTGAGACTGGAATATATGTAGTGACACCCCTCCCCCACCCCGTGTCCCTGCAGGTTTGGCCTAAGTCCATTTGGTTTGGCTCCAGATCCCTGGCTCAGACCCCAGAGGGAATCCTTGCACTGTCTGTTTCCTGCTCTGAGACTCCCCAGGGGTGATCTGTATAAACCTTGGGTCCTTGTCTGGAAAACAAAGGTAAAGCAGGCGAACAGTCAGGTATTTGTAGGGTGGGGAGGATTCCATTGAGGGAGTAGAGCAGCTGGCACCCAGCCAGCATTTGTTAAGTTGCCTCTCCCCACTGTGGCTTGGAGGTGCCCCCCAGCGTGGTCTGGGTCTCACGTTGGAGTCCCCAGAGCCCACTACACAGAAGATGGCTGCAGTGAGCTAAGCAAGGGGACCACCACTGCTGTCACCAGTGGAGCCCATCTTGTGACGACAGCAGGATTTACAGCACCCAGACCCCTGCCTGGCATCCCGCTCGCCCAGACTGGACACCTGGGAGGCATCCCCGATTCTCCCACACCCACCGGCTGACTAGTCAGTGATTCCTACTTCATGGGACCCTCTCCTCTATCATGTCAGGCTTCATTCTTTTTTTTAAATTGAGGCAAAATGCACATCACATCAAATGAACCGTTGTAAAGCGAGCAATTCGATGGCATTAATACATTCACAACATTGTGCAATCACCACCTCTACCTAGTTCTAGAACATTTTCATCAGCCCAGAAGGAAACCCTGTGTCCATTTGCAGTCACCCCCCATCCTTCATGCTCCTCAGTCTGTTCCTGGTAACCACCAGTCTGCTTTCTGTCTCTGTGGATTTGCCTGTTCTGGACATTTCATATCCACGGAATCATACACCACGTGGCCTTAGTGCCTGGCTTGTTTGACTCAGGATAACATTTTTGAGATTAATTCGTTTCAGCATTGATAGCATTTTTGAGATTAATTCGTTTCAGCATTATCAGTACTTCATTCCTTTTTAGGACTTAATAATATTCAGGGTCATTATTTCTTTTTTATTTATTTTTGGCTGCATTGGGTCTTCGTTGCTGTGCGCGGGCTTTCTCTAGTTGAGGCGAGCAGGAGCTACTCTTCATTGCGGTGCGCGAGCTTCTCATTGCAGTGGCTTCTCTTGTTGCGGAGCACGGGCTGTAGGCGCGCGGGCTTCAGTAGTTGTGGCTCACGGGCTCTAGAGCGCCGGCTTAGTTAGTTGTGGCGCACGGGCTTCATTGCTCCGTGACATGTGGGATCTTCCTGGACCAGGGCTCGAACCCGTCCATGTCCCTTGCATTGGCAGGCAGGTTCCCAACCACTGCACTACCAGGGAAGCCCCAGGGTTCATTATTTCTTGACAGGAGCTTTGCAGCAGACTTCCGTCCCACGCTCCCGATCACTCTTTCACCATGCCAGGGGTCCCCTAACCTTGACAGTGTTGTCATCTGGGGTGCGATCATCTCTGTGATGGGGGCTGTCCTGTGCCTTGTAGGGTGTTGAGCAGCATCCCTGGTCTCTACCCACTGAGCCGATAGCAACCCACTCTGTTGTGACAATCACAGGTGTCTTCACACATCGCCAAATGTCTCCTAAGGGTCAGAATTGCCCTCAAGTGAGCACCCCTGAGTTATTTGTCTGACAAATATTTATCAAGTGCCTCCTGTCTGCCAGGCTGTTAGGGACTGAATGTTTGTATCATCCCTCACCCCCTCCTCAAATTCAGTCTTCTCCAGCTAAGCCATAGGGCTGATCAGTTCCAATTTCCGCATCATTCACCTCTGCGCCTGTGCCCTTGGTCTTGGTGATCCCTGTCTGGGAATATCCTTCCTCATGTGCCTGAGCAAATGGTTCTTTGTCACTCACCCCCAATCCCCACCCCTTTACCTGTCTGGAGTGCTCGCTCTTCACGCTTTGCCTGATGGGAAAATGCTGGTCATCCCTCTCAGGGAAGAAGCTTTGTCTGCTGTTCACCTTGTATCCTCAGTGGTATACAGCTGACCCACAAACGCCCAACAAGTTAATGAGATCGAGACCTTTGAGGTTCGGCAAAAATGCTCGCTCTTCTCACGTAGGTGTTGTCCCCAGGTGACGGGGCTCGGGCTCCGTTTTCCTCCTGCCATGGAGGTGGCCCCACCTTGCAGAGATGGGCATGGGTGGTGGGTGCTGGGACTGGGCTGTCCCGAGGAAGCCCAGGTTCCTGGCTGGCTTCCCTGAGCTTTCTATCCAACTGCATTAACAAGACCCCCGTTTCCCTCTTTTAGGAAGCCTTCTGCAGGGGGTCCCAGTACTCCTAGCGGTGCTAAGACGAGAGGAAGAAGACTACAAGGTGAGTGAAATTGGCATCTACCCTTTGAAATGGAATCCACTGGAATAAAAACTGAGCTTTTCTTTCTCCCCCAGTAAGTGCTTTTGGAGGAGAGAAAAACCGGCCAGAGCTGGGGAGCTGGGGCTTTACCCGCTTCTAGCCACACCTTTGGGGACCCCAAGTCTGGTTACCCAGCCCTGCAGCCAGGGGTGTGGCAGGACCTGGTGGGGGTCATCTAGGGCAGTGGGCCCTTCCGGCCATGGGGGTCATGGGTTGTACCCAGGGCTCATCACTTGGAAGTGTGGGTGAGGAGAGTGTGAGCTGAATTTGTTAGGAAACATCAAAGTCTGTTTCTTCTCAGTAAGCGCGTCAGACCCTTGGGGGTGCCCACACATCCGGTGTCTACCTGTGCGTCCGGGGTCACTGTCAACAGCCCCCCTTGACTCTTGGCAGTGCCCAGCTTGGGGCTGTAGACGCAAGGATCTCCCACGTTGGATCTCAAACCTCCGTTAACGATGAAGTGTTTTTTGATGCCTGTGCACTAGTGCAGGCCTCAGAGAACCTGGAGCAGAATTCCAGTTCCAGACGACTGGCGGTTTATATGTTATAGCATCACAGCATCGCTGGACGATCTTGTCTGTAACATCTGTTATATTTACACAGGGTCTAGTTCTTGGACGCAAATTATATCCTTCATTGTAACATTGCTTCTGTGGAAAATCCACCACTGTTGAAAACAAACAGGTGCATTCTAGTTTTCCAGAAACTTGAAACTGCTTTTCAACTGTGCAAGGAACCCAGAGCCTCCTTCCTACCCTTTGCTGATGGTATTAGAAAGACCCAATGCAGGATGGTCTCCCCCTCTTGGAACTGGGGGTGTCCTTCGCCCCAATCCTTCACTGGACATCCAGTGGCAGACCCTAGGTGTGGCTCGATTCTCTCCCCTGGACCCTGCCTGGTCCTGGCCTTAACCCTTAGGTGCCTCCTGTCTGAATGTCTGAGCCACTTGCCCTGCACACATGGCTCATCCCTGCCTGGGGCACGCCCGGGGCAACCAACACCTCCGTGTCCAGCTCCAGGCAGCCTGTTAACTGTGGTTGTACCTCTTTCCCACTCAAGCTTGCGGCTGCAACCCCCATCTAAAGAAAGATGCAAATCCAGGCATGAAGGTAATATGGTTGAAATCCCAGTCTTGGGACTGAACTGTCAAGGCAGGTGACACTGACCACATCACTCTCTCTAGTAAAAAGGGAGACCCCTGAGCTCTGGGGGCACCTAGGAAAAGTGCAGAATCATGCATTTGACACATTGCTGAGCACCTCCTCCCTGCAAGGTGGTGGAACGTGGCAGCAAGCAAAACAGACAAGAATCCCTACCCTCAGGGGGCTTGCCACCTTGGACACAGGCGGTGAATCAGGAGACATAAGGAGACACAGGGTGTATTGGACAGTGACAGTTGCTGTGGATAAAACAGCAGGATGGGGGTAGCTTCTGGCCTAAGGGAGGGGCTGGGCCGAGCAGAATCGTGAAGGCGGCAGGGGTGGCATGTGCCCGCTGGCTGGAGGAACAGGTGACACGGGACCTGCAAGGTGTCTGGTGGCACTCACCCTTCACCAGCTAATGGACCCGGAAGACAGCCTGCTGCAGCTGCCAGAGGGCCAGTCAGCCTGGAGGACAGAGTGTCTCAAGGGGAAGGGTGCAGGGCTTCCCTGGTGGCGCAGTGGTTGAGAATCCACCTGCCAATGCAGTCGACACGGATTCTAGCCCTGGTCCGGGAGGAGCCCACATGCCACAGAGCAACTAAGCCCGTGCGCCACAACTACTGAGCCTGTGCTCTAGAGCCCACGACCCACAACTACTGAGCCCGTGTGCCTAGGGCCTGTGCTCCACAACAGGAGAAGCCACTGCAATGAGAAGACCGCGCACCGCAGCGAGGAGTGGCCCCCACGCGCCACAACTAGAGAAAGCCTGCATGCAGCAATGAAGACCCAGTGCAGCCAAAAATAAATAAAATAAATTAAAAAAAAAAAAAAGAAGGAGGGTGCAAGTGAGCGCTGTGTGCAGTGCTGCCGCTGGCTCAGAACGAGGACTGAGAAGGGGCAGGTGGGCATCAGAGCAGGGAGATCTCTGTGGTCTGGATGAAAGGAGTTTCTTTGGTGCCGTGGTGACTGTGGGGGCCAGGCTGGGGTGCGGGGGGATTCAAGGGAAGGAGAGAAGAGGATCCGCCACGGCAAAGGGGAGCAGAGAAGTGGGGGAGGGGAGGGGAGGGGGGATGAGCAGTGTGCCCATTGGAGAGAGGAAGTGGGGTGATACAGGGTGGGGCAGGGGGAGAGGGGTTGCCAGGGCAGTTTCCTAACGGAGTGAGGGCTGGGCTCTAGCACTCAGAGTTGGGGGGTTGGTTCTACCCCAAAGCGCAGAGGTTGCTCCACATGGGGGGCCCTGAGGTTGGGAGGCAGCTAGATGCCCAGGTGGGAGGATCTCCTGGGGCTGCTTTTGTCTTCCCAATGAAGTAGGAAACAGGTTACCAGCTGACCAGAGGGATGGCCCGGTGTAGGAAGTGGGCAGGAGGGTCTGGGAGAGGGGGTGGGGGATCAGAACAGAGGACTGTGGATGATCACAGGGCCTGCAGCGAGAGCCCCTGGAGGTTGGGGGGACAGATGTGTTTCCTTCACGCACCTTCAGCGCCCCAGGGTCAGGGTGGAAGGGCACCTGGGGCTGGGCTGTCACCAAGGGATACAGCCGTGTCCGAGAAGAGCATCGGTGCCTAGTGTGTCTCAGGAGAGCGGTACTGAGCTAGGTGAGGGGGGTGGGGGATGTGAAAGGCAGTACCATGAGTGGGTCATAGATGGGCTTGGATGGGAGAAGGGCAGTTGGGGTCATGACCACAGGGAGTGAGTTGGGGAGGGGAGAGAAGGAGAGCAGGTGGCCATCTTTGGAAGATCTTTCTTCCTTTCCCTGCCCTGCCCCTGAGTCTACTTTCTGTTTTTTTTTTTTTTTTCTAATTTATTTTTGGCTGCGTTGGGTCTTCGTTGCTGCGCGCGGGCTTTCTCTAGTTGTGGCGAGCGGGGGCTATTCTTCGCTGACGTGTGGGGGCCTCTCATTGCAGTGGCTTCTCTTGTTGCGGAGCACGGGCTCTAGGTGCGTGGGCTTCGGTAGTTGTGGCTCGCGGGCTCTAGGGCGCAGGCTCAGTAGTTGTGGTGCACAGGCTTTGTTGCTCCACGGCATGTGGGCTCTTCCCAGACCAGGGCTCAAACCCGTGTCCCCTGCATTGGCAGGTGGATTCCCAACCACCGCGCCACCAGGGAGGCCCTACTTTCTGTTTTGAACTTTGGCACATATTCCTGATCTTCCTTGATCATAGCTCCTGTGGGTCTCTGTGTCTCCACTTCTAGCCCTGGTGCTTGTATACAGCGGGTATCCTATAAATGTTATTGCATACAGTAGGTGTTCCATATATGTTCTTTTAAAAAAGCTTTTAAAAGAATTTATTATTTACTTATTTTAATTTATTTTTGGCTGTGCTGGGTCTTTGTTGCTGTGCGCGGGCTTTCTCTAGTTGTGGCGAGCGGGGGCTACTCTTCGTTGCGGTGCATGGGCTTCTCATTGCGGTGCCTTCTCTTGTTGTGAAGCACAGGCTCTAGGTGTGCGGGCTTCAGTAGTTGTGGCACGAGGGCTCAGTAGTTGTGGCTCGTGGGCTCTAGAGCGCAGGCTCAGTAGTTGTGGTGCACAGGCTTAGTTGCTCCGCAGCATGTGAAATCTTCCCGGACGAGGGATTGAACCTGTGTCCCCTGCATTGGCAGGTGGATTCTTAACTGCTGCACCACCAGGGAACTTGCTCCATGTATGTTCTTGCATACAGTAGGTGTCCCATACATGCTTGAGGCTGAGCGGGGAGGGCTGATAGCACCTGGCTCTCGGGGTGGGGGGCGGGCATCCTAGGTGCATGGTGGGTCCTCACAGTCCATGTCATAGTTTTATTATAAACCAACAGTGTGTCCCCCACAGGTGGAAGAGTGGTTGAGTCCCGGTACTTGCAGTATGAGAAGAAAACCATCAAAAAGGTAACATACAATGTACGTTTGAAACAGTTCTGAACACAGTTCTGACGAACTTGGAATTCTGAGACAAGTCACTCCGGCCAGGCACAGCCTCGTCCTGAAAGAAGCATTTTGGGGACTTGGTCCAGTTGCGTTTGGGGCTGTCATGCCCTTCGTGCTGAGGCAGGGATCTTTGTCATGGGTGGCTGATCACTTTGAGAATCTCTTTTGCAAAGCCATGATCTCTGGTGAATCATAAAATTATTCCTGTCTCTCAACCTGGTAATTCCTTTCTGGATTCTGTCCTGAAACAATTCTGTCTAATGCCTGGCACGTGGTTACCCGGCCTCGGCTGGTATTGTAAAAAATACCCGTAGGGTTTTAGAGAAAGGGTTTTAGGGGAAAAAAGACATGGCTGAATCACCCAGTGTTACAGGAAGAGTTCAGTGAACTAGCCACACCACAAAAACGATGAAACCATTGAAAATGATCACATGAAACACTTAACAACTTGGGAACCTGCTTTGTGTGATGTTTAATGAAAATAATCATTAGATTACCCAATGACATATTTTGTTTCAGTGTGTACGTACGGATAGTGTGGTAAAGGTTGTGTTATTCCATTTTCCAAATCTTTGTTTATGATAAAGTTTAGGTAAATATTAATTTCTGCTGCCTTTCTTTTACTCTGGAAGGGTGAATGGCGGGTTAATGTGGCTTAAGATTTGGCTTGAAGAAAAAGGATACCTTTACGCAAACTGATATGCTTCTTGGAGTGATTTTTTTTTTAATGGACTTAATTTTTTTAGAGCAGTTTTAGTTTCAAAGCAAAATTGAGTGGAAAGTACAGAGATTTCTCATACACCCCCCTGCCCGCCCCCTCACATGCGTAGCTTCCCTGTTGTCAACATCCCGCAGCAGAGTGGGGCATATTTACAATCGATGAACCTACATTGGCACATCCTTACCCAGAGTCCGTGGTTTACAGCATTGAAATGATTTTCAGCAGACAATACTAGTCCACACTTCATAATTTTAATGTTGCCTGGCAAACTTGGTTACAGCATCCCCATGTGTTTGCATGTTCTAGTATTTTAGATCTTTAAGAGCTTCTCCGTTTTCTTTTTTTTTTCCTCTTTTAAATTAAGGTGTAATTTACATAGAGGAAGTGTCACTCTTCAGCGTACAGTTCTCTGAGTTTTGACAAACACATCCAGTCACAGACCCACCAACAGTCAAGATAGAGAACACCCTGTCCCCCGCCCCCCGCCCCACCCCGCAAAGTCCCCTTGTGCTCCCATGGAACCAGCCCCTCCCCACCCCAGGCAACCATGATGTGTTTTCTGTCCCTGTAGCTTTGCCTTTGCAGTAGGCTCACTTAAAAGGTGCCACCCAGGATGCAGACTCTTGCAGTCTGGTTGCTTTCATATAAAGGTCCCTCCCCGTCGTTGCCTTTTACAGTTAGTGCTAGTTCCTTCTGATGGCTGAAGAATATTCCACTGTACGGATGGACCACAGTGTGCACAGCCACTCCCTGGCAAAGGACATTTGGTTTGTTTCCCGATTTTGGCAATTATGAATAAAGCCACCTTAAACATTCCTGTGCAGAATTCTGTGTGGATGTGTTTTCATTTCTCCCAGGAGGGGAATTGTAGGGTAAATGTCTGTTTGACTTTGTTAGTAACTGCCCAGCTGTTATCCAAAGTGGCTGCCCCTTTTTACATTCCTATGAGCCACAGAGGAGAGTCAGTACTTTAGGACTGAAATCATTCTAGTGGGTATGAAGTGGTATCTCATTGTGGTTTTAAACTACATTTCCATAACAACTAATGATATTGAGCATCTTTTCATGTGCTTATTGGCCAGTCCTATATCTTTGGTGATGTGTCCTTTCAAATCTTTTGCACATTAAAAAAAAATGGGGTTGTTTGTTTTCTCATTATTGAGTTTTGAGGGCTCTTTCTATATCTTAGATACCAACTCTTTATGGTGATTTGCAAATATTTTCTCCCAGTGTGTGGCTTGGCTTTCCATTCTCTTAAGTGTCTGGTGAGGAGCAGAAGTTCTCGATTTTGATGAGGTCCAATTTATCGATTTCTGCTTTTATGAAATGTGCTTTTGGTGTCTTTTCTAAGAAACCTTTGCCTTACCCAAGACCATAAAGATTTCTCCCATGTTCTCTTCTATATGAGTTGAGGTCTGTGGTCCATTTTGAATTAATTTTTGTATCTGATGTGACGGTGGAATTAAAGTTCGTTTTTAAGTGTATGGATGTCCTCTTGTTCCAACACCATTTGTTGAAATGACTTTCCTTTCCCTGTTGTATTGTCTCATCACCTCTGTTGGAAAGCAATTGACTATATATGTATGCATCGTTTCTGGACTCTATTCTTTTCTATTGTTCTACATGTCTATCTTTAGTCCATTTCCATACTGCCCAGGTTACTGTAGCTTTGTTTTTTTTTTTTTTTTTTTACGCGGGCCTCTCACTGTTGTGGCCTCTCCCGTTGTGGAGCACAGGCTCCAGACGCGCAGGCTCAGCGGCCATGGCTCACGGGCCCAGCCGCTCCGCGGCATGTGGGATCTTCCCAGACCGGGGCATGAACCCGTGTCCCCTGCATCAGCAGGCGGACTCTCAACCACTGCGCCACCAGGGAAGCCCTGTAGCTTTGTTTTATAGTAAGTCTTAAAATTGGGTTGTGTGAATTTTCCCACTCTGTTCTTTTCCAAAACTCACTCTTCTAGTTCCTTTGCCTTTCCATATGAATTTTAGCCTTAGCTTGCCATTTCCTACCAAAACTTCGGGGATTTTAATTGTATTGAATCTATGCATTAGCTCAGGGAGCATAACATCCTAAAAACACCCAAGTCTTTCAATCCATGAACATGGTATACCTCGCCCTTTATTTGGTCTTAGATTTTTTTCATCAGTGTTTTTGTAATTTCCAGCATACAGACCTTCCCCATGTTTGCTTAGGTTTACACCTAAGTATTTGGTGTTTTTTTAGTGCTATTATGCAAGGTACTATCTCGTCTTGTCTTTCTTTCTTTCTTGAAGAAATTTTGTTTGTTTAGAAATAATTCACACATAACATTATATTAGTTTTAATTTTATTTATTTATTTTTTATTTTTGGCTGCATTGGGTCTTCGTTGCTGTGTGCAGGCTTTCTCTAGTTGTGGGGAGTGTGGGCTACACTCCGATGTGGTGCTTGAGCTTCTCATTGTGGTGGCTTCTCTTGTTACCGAGCACTGGCTCTAGGCACTTGGCCTTCAGTAGTTGTGGCTCACGGGCTCTAGAGCACAGGCTCAGTAGTTGTGGCATACGGGCTTAGTTGCTCTGTGGCATGTGGGATCTTCCCAGACCAGGGATCAAACCCACGTCCCCTGCATTGGCAGGTGGATTCTTAACCGCTATACCACCCGGGAAGTCCCGATATTAGTTTTAGAGGTACAACATAATGATTCAATCTTTGCAAATATTGCAAAATGATCATCACAGTAAGTCTAGTTAACATCCATTACCGCAGAGTTACAAAATTTTTTTCTTTGCTCAGAACTTTTACATGGTACTTTTTTTTTTTTTAATATTTATTTATTTAGGCTGCTCCAGGTCCTAGTTGTGGCATGCAGGATCTTCGTGTGGCATGTGGGATCTTTAGTTGTGGCATGTGGACTCTTAGTTGCGGTGTGAAGATTTCTTACTTGTGGCATGCAGACTTCTTAGGTGCGGCATGCCAACTTTTAGCTGCGGCATGCCAACTCTTAGTTGCGGCACGCACGTGGGATCTAGTTCCCCGACCAGGGATCGAACCTGGGTCCCCTGCATTGGGAGCTCAGAGTCTTACCCACTGGACCACCAGGGAAGTCCCATGGTGCTGTCTTTTAATTTCAATTTCCAAAGTTGTTCATTGCTAGAAATATCTTTTTATATTGACCCTGTATCCTGCAACATTGCTAAACTTGTTAGTTTTAGTAGTGTTTTTTTAGTATGTTTTGAGATTTTCTATGTGAAGAGTCATGTCTGCAAGAAGAGAGTTTTATTTCTTCTTTTGTAACCTGTTTGCCTTTTATTTCTTATTCCTATACTTCCAATGGGAGGTTGAATAGGAGTGGTGTCTGTACATCAAAATATTCTCACTCTTTATAAGGTCTTTTTTTTGCTTTTTTTAATTTTATTTTTTGGCTGCGCCACGTGGCTTGTTGTGGGATCATAGTTCCCTGACGGGGGATTGAACCTGGGCCTTGGCAGTGAAAGTGCCGAGTCCTAACTACTGGACCATCAGGGAATTCCCTCTTTTTGCTTTTATATTGTTATAGTGGCTTGCTAGCTCCATGCATTGCTTGCTTTTTTAATAAGTTTTGAAGATTAATACCTGTCCAAAAGCTTTGTTTTTTCTGACAACCGAAGTAATATGTTCTCTTTCCTAAACTGACAAGTACTAAAAATTATGCAGAAAATCAGTCATCTGTAATCTGCCATGTCAGAGATCATCACCAGCAAATATTTTGGTGGTTTCCTATGTTCTACGCATGTGAGGGTATCCTTTTGACAAAATTAGTTCATCCTGTATGTATGCAATTAAATGTCAGAACTCCTTGAATCTATCCCTTGCCTCAAGGTAAGAGCAGATGCAGACCTTGCAAACTGCAGAGGGGCCCCTTCTCATGGAAGGAAAGTGTCTTGTCCCCTGAATATTATGTATTCCCCTAATAGGCTCCTGCAGCAGATGCATTAAAGGCCAGTGGGAAGATGCCTGAAGGTGGAAGAAAACCCAACCCACTCCAGAAGAGCAAAGGTACGTAAAGATGGAAGGAGGGTGTGAAACAGCACTGAGGCTTAGGAAGTGATGAGCGTGGTGGTGAATTTTGTTTTTAAGTATGCAAGTTTAAGACGCCCTTTCCTTTCTGGAAAGTATGAGGAAAAGGAGCTTGGCAAAGAGTTTCAGCATAAAGACAGATTTGGGGCATATGAAGATCTGAAGGGGGTTGGCAGGGGAATCGGGGGGAGTCATTTCCTTTCTATATGACCCCAGAGAAGAGCCACATTGCCATAATGGTGCTCCCTTGGGGCACCAGTTCCTTGATCATGTGACTGTTCCCCCACCAGAGCTCTGAGAGCAGGACTTTCAGAGAGGGTATGAGACCTCATTTTCCTGCCTCTCACTACCTTGGGTTGGGTCTTCCTCGTAATGGTCTCCCCATACCCCTTCTACTAGAAGCTTTCACCAAAGTGATATGAAAAACTTTCAGTTTTTCTGGTTGTAGACATGATATGTGTTTGTTCTTAAACAAAATTGGAGAATGTAACCCAGAAGGGCGGAAGCTCCCTTATGATCTACCACTCAGACCATCGCTGTTGGTGTATTTGCTCTTCAGTCCTAGTCAGTGTGCTCATTCTAGAAGTCTGGGAAGGCTCCTCTCCAGAGTAGTGCTTTACCCAACTCCTCCGGTGCCTGCTTCACCAGCAGTGGCGGGCAGCTCTTCTTTTGCATAAGAGCAAGTCACAGAAAGCAAAATTGTTTCTCGGCCTGCAAACCCTCATTCAAAATGGTGACAGCTTTGAGTCCCATAGTGGAATACTAAGTATGTTCTTTTACAGCTTAGATTTCCTGCTTTATTGTTCAGATCCAGGGTCAGCAAAACTTTTCTGAGCCAGTGGTTAATATTTTAGGTGTTGCAGGCCAGGCGGTCTCTGTCATAGAAACTTAACTCTGCCTTGTCGCAGCGTGAAAGCAGCCACAGACAATGTGTACACAAATGGGCGTGTCTGTGTCCCAGTTATTTACAAACACAGGAAGTGGGCCAGATCTGGCCTGCATGCTAGAGCTTGCTGATCTTGGCTTGGATGTTTGTCAGAAATTGTGCTGTTCCTTGACCCAGGCATGATTGAGAAGCAAGCACATGGAGCTGGAGCCAGCCTTCTAGTCTTTTCTCATGCAGTTGGGTTGAAGGCCATGTGTGAAGCTGGGAAAGCTGGCATGGCCAGAGGGGTCAAAAACTGGGCCTGCCACATTTAAAAATCAGGGTTCTCAGGGCTTCCCTGGTGGTGCAGTGGTTGAGAATCTGCCTGCCAATGCAGGGGACACGGGTTCGATCCCTGGTCCGGGAAGATCCCACATGCCACGGAGCAACTAAGCCCGCGAGCCCCAACTACTGAGCCTGTTCTCTAGAGCCTGTGAGCCACAAGTACTGAGCCCGCGTGCGGCAACTACTGAGCCCCGCGCGCCTAGAGCCCATGCTCTGCAGCAAGAGAAACCACCGCAGTGAGAAGCCCGCGCACCACAAAGGAGTAGCCCCTGCTTGCCCCAACTAGAGAAAGCCCACGTGCAGCAACAAAGACCCAACACAGCCAAAAATAAATAAATAAAATAAATAAATTAAAAAAATAAAAATCAGGGTTTTCAGCTGTGGGTTATTGAGGGGGCAGGTATGGGATGCTGCTTGACACCCAACAGTGCACAGGACTGCCCCACAGCAAGGAATGATCTGGTCCCTGATGTCAATAGTACCAAGGCTGAGAAACCATAATTTAAACATAGTCATGATAATTTAGAGGGACTGCTTGTTTGAGTTCCATTGTATGGCTTGATAGGAAATTACTTTTCTTAATGAAAATGTTATACATGGAGATGACAGAACATTCAAACCAGTGGAAACGCAATAAAAAGTCATCATCTCCCACCTCTGGTTCCCATTTCTCACCTAGGAGGCAGCCACTCTTGATAGATTTTTATTTATTTACCTAGAATTTTTAAAAAATCTTAACACAAATGTTACCATAACTTATATGTATTGTGACTTCACTCGTTTCATTTCCACATATTCGTTTCCTCAACTGCATAGTTGTTCATTAAATAGTTTTCTGTTTACTTGCTAACACGACAGTGCGTTTTACATACCATTTGCTCTTTCTGCAGCCTTCTGGAACCTTGTTTAATTGAAGCGTGCAGTACACTAAGTGCTCATTTTATATATAAGGAATAATTTCACATTTCTAAATAGAAGCTAAAAGATGAAGGGAATTCTCAGGGAAGACGAACAGTCCAGCAGCTACAGGAGAAGGAAAAAAGAGCTTCCCTGGTGGCACAGTGGTTGGGAGTCCGCCTGCCGACGCAGGGGACGCGGGTTCGTGCCCCGGTCTGGGAGGATCCCACATGACGCGGAGCGGCTGGGCCCGTGAGCCATGGCCGCTGGGCCTGCGCGTCCGGAGCCTGTGCTCCGCGACGGGAGAGGCCACAGCAGTGAGAGGCCCGCGTACTGCAAAAAAAAAAAAAAAAAAAAAAAAAAAAGAGCAGAGGGCAGAACAAGTATATCATGTGTTATTAGATTCTTATACCCTGAACACAGCATCTTTTATTTTTTTTATTTTTATTTTTTAATCGAAGTATAGTTGATTTACAGTGTTGTGTTTGTTTCAGGTATACAGCAGAGTGGTTCAGTTATACATACATATACATATATTTTACACACACACACACACACACACACACACACATATTTTTCAGATTCTTTTCCCTTATGGGTTATTACAAAACATTGAGTAGAGTTCCCTACGCTATGCAGTAGGTCCTTGTTGATCTGTTTTATCCATAGTGGTGTGTATATGTTAATCCTAACTCCTAACTTTTCCCCCCCTTCCCCTTTGGTAACCATAAATTTGTTTTCTATGTCTCTGGGTCTTTTTCTGTTTTGTAAATAAGTTCATTTGTACACAGCATCTTGTACTGAAACTAAGCAGAAAGGCTTATTTGTATCTTTCAGTTATAAAGACTGCATCTCTTTTCTAGCTCTACTTTAAAATATATTCAAGTTGATGGGCGGGAATTTCCAAAGGTCTTTCAGCCTTCTCTACTGCTCCCTCGTAAGAAACTGAGTTTTTGGAAGCAGGTGATATTGTACAGAAAAGTTACCTGCTCCCGGGCTTAAGTATAGAGTATCTTGCTGACTGTGCTGACTTCTGGGGATTCTCACTGGGCCCACAGACAGCAGTGGAATTGGCAAAGGCGACCTGCAGTCTACCTTGCTGGAAGGGCATGGCACTGCCCCACCTGACCTGGATCTCTCGGCCATTAATGGTAAGTCATTGGCTGTACCTGTCCTTTCCCTAGCTGGGGGTTGCAATGCATGTCTGAGGGCTCCCAAAATATGCTCTTCTCACCTTAAAAACACTTTTTTTTTTTATTGAAGCATAGTCGATTTACAATGTTGTATTAGTTTCAGGTGTACAGCAAATTGATTCAGTTCTACATATATATATCTATTCTTTTTCAGATTCTTTTCCCTTATAGGTTATTACAAAATATTGAGTATAGTTCCCTGTGCTATACAGTAGGTCCTTGTTGGTTATCTATTTTATATACAGTAGTGTGTATATGTCAATCCCAACCTCCTAATTTATCCCCCACCTCCCCTTTGGTAACCATAAGTTTGTTTTCAATGTCTGTAGGTCTGTTTCTGTTTTGTATACGTTCATTTGTATCATTTTTTTTAAGATTCCACATATAAGTGATATCATGATATTTGTCTTTCTCTGTCTTGCTTATTTCACTTAGTATGATAATCTCTAGGTCCATCCATGTTGCTGCAAATGGCATTATTTCATTCTTTTATATGGCTGAGTAATATTCTGTTGTGTATATATACCACATCATCTTTAGCCGTTCATCTGTTGATGGACATTTAGGTTGCTTCCATGTCTTGGGTATTGTAAATAGTGCTGCTATGAACACTGGGGTGCATGTATCTTTTCAAATTATGGATAAAACGCTTTTCTTGATCTTAGACAGAAGTGTGGTCCGAAAGACTCCACAGTTAGAAAAAACAATGTCAAAGAAAGCGGAGTCATCATCATTTTCTGCCTCGAGGAAAAAGAGCCCAGTAAGTCTCTGAAATGAGAGGGAAGCCACTATAGCAGGTTGGCTAAATCTGCCCTGTGCCACGTGCCCCTCGAAACCCGGGGGCTCCAAGAATGAACAAGCCAGCTGTGCCTTTTAGAACAAAAACCTCACCCATCCTTAGAGGATTTGCATTTTCAGTTTCCCCAGCTACATGTACAGGAGGGGATACAAATGCAGGATCATGTGAAAAATGAGATTGAGGCCTTGTTTGCCAGTGCCACGCTAGGGAAGGCACTAGGCCAGGCCCTGTTCACGGCAGGGAGGCCGGCCAGGCTGTGGTCTCACCCAGGTGGGAACCCCAAGTCCTGGTTCTGGCAAAAGGCAACAAGTTGGTGGGTGCCCTTCAGCTCACGCTTGACGGCCCAGCTTGCAGGAAGGGACCAAACCACCTTCCTTTTCACAGAGGACTCGAAAGACTAAATGAGAAAATAGAAACGAGTCGATACACAGTCTAGAATCGTTGAATTACTGATTGAAAAAAAGTACAGACGGGCTAGGATTCTGCCCCTCCCTGGGGGAGAGAGCTGGCTTTATACCAGTTCACGGGGAACCAGCTTTTTCTTCTCCTGAAGGATCTCTCCGAAGCGATGGAAATGATGGAATCCCAAACACTACTCCTGACTCTGCTGACCTTGAAGGTGAGGACGGAGCCTCCTGCATGCGTGTCGTGGGTGGAAGGGTGGCCACCGTCAGCCGCGGAGGTGAGGTCGCCTCTGGCCTGAGCTTTTGTTTTGCATTTCCCAGATGGAAAGTGGTCTTGCTGCATTCGAAGAAAAGGCAGAAAAGAATTTATTAATAATGTGCAAAGAGAAGGAGAAGCTCCAGAAAAAAGCCCATGAGCTGAAGCGCCAATTTCTTCTCTGTCAGAGGAAGCGGGAGCTGGCAGGCGTCCTGGACGCGCAGGTCAGGGGTGACCGCAGCCTCCAAGAGGCGCATCCTGGCAGCATTGTCCCGCGGGGGGTGGGGGGAGTGGTTGGAGGGAGACTTTATTGTGAGCGTCACTCCTCGCCTGGCTCTGACTCTGTGCCCGGCTTTTGACACCACTGGGTGTTGCTACGTGATGGTTTATCAGAGGACAAGGCGGTAATGTCAGAACCAACCAGCAAGAGGGCTCTGTCCCTTCAACACACATGGGCATGTATTCTGGTGACTTGTATCCTGAGACTTGTGCCCAGTGACACAGATGTACTCCAGACCTGCCCATTTGGGCCAGGGTGCTGGTGGGAGACTTGGGCTTGGTGCTGTGTGGTCAGTGCTGGGACGGGAGTGTCCACGCCAGGGAAGGTCACAGCGAATCGTGGGAACCTAGAAAGGGCCGATCAGGGAATGGGGCTCCTCACCCAGTAAGTATGTATCCTGGGGCCGCCGTAACAAAGGACCACAGAGTGCGCGGCGGCTTAAACAATTGACATGTATTCTCTCTCAGTTCTGGAGGCTGTAAGTCTGAGATCAAGGTGTCTGCAGGGTTGGTTCCTTCCGAGGGCCACGAGAGAAGGATGTGTCCCAGCTTCTCTCCTTGGCTTGTCGATGGCATCTTCTCCTGTGTCTCGTCACCTGGCTCTCTCCCTCTGAGTGTCTGTCTCCACATTTCCCCCTTTTGTAAGGACACCTGTCATACTGATCAAGGCCCAGCTTAATGACCCCACCTTAACTGAATTACCTCTGTAAAGTCTCCAAATCAGGTCACATTCTGAGGTGCTGGGGGTTGGGATGTCAACAGAGGAATTTGTGGGAACACAATTCAGCCCGTAACACCCAGCATGTACACGTAAGTGTGCCCAGCGGCCCGGCTCTGAGCTGAGAACAGGGTCCCTATCCTCGTGGAACTCACAATAGAAGGGAAGGGAAAGACAGTCAAACAAATGAATCCTTATAACCCCCAGACGGCATGTACAAGGGAAAAGGGGGTTGCCGGGCATGGCCTTGGTTGGGGGCAGGCATGTCAGCTCAGTGCTCTGAAGCAGGAGGGCCCAGCCCTGGAACAAGCTGGAAGGCGGACACGTGTTCCTGGTGAGGAGACCCAGGCCACCTTGCTACTGGCCGGGCCATCTTCGGGGCACCTGGGAGTGAGGGGAGAGCCCACTGCACCCTTGGAAGTTTCTCTGGGAGACCTGGCAGAACAGTGCTGTGTCTTAACCTCACAGGTGCCATCTGGTAAACTTCTGGCGAGGTGAGTGCAGGGCCTCATCCCACAGGCTCCTTCCTCTTCTGCCTGCAGATCGAGATGCTGAGCCCCTGTGAGGCCATAGCCAGCTGCTTTAAGGAACGATACAAGACATTTGCGACGGCCCTGGACACCACAAGGCATGAACTGCCCGTGAGATCGGTCCACCTGGACGGAGACGGGCAGTGCTTCTTAGGTAGGAAACGGGGCAACTGCCCGGCAAGGGGTAGGGCGAACCTCCCAGTGCATGCTGGCATCGCCTGTGTCCTGGGCACCTTTATCCGTTCGTGTTAGGTCATAGGCCTCCTCTCAGGTAGACGGTGCATACCCCATCAAATGGCAGAGGACGCAGGGGGCCAGCAAGGCTGCGGTTTATGTGGGGTCGTGCCCTGAGTAAGGACTGTGTTGGGATTTGAACCTAGGTCTGTAGGACCCCCGCAGTGATTTCCCATCC